ACCAGAATCATTATATCTTGTAGATTTCAATAAATTCACAATAGTGTTCAATGATTATTCATCTTTTTAAACGGTGTACTATCTGTTATCCTTTCAACATTTGGTTAAATTCTGCAATATTTACAATATTTATTTTCTTCAGTGATCCGTAAACACACAATGAAATGAAATAGTTGGTCAATATTTCTGTCTTTTCCATAATTTAATAGTTGGATTCATAAGTCAATCAAAGTTAGACCACCATGGAAAACTTGATAACAATGGACGGTCGTTTCGCGAGGCAGGATCGTGGATGTACACTTCTTAGGAGTCCGACAATAGGATGAAACGGCTATCGAGTGCTTCCAGGCTTTCCATGGTGATTTAGCTTCGATTGACACATGATCTCAACTATTAAAATAATTTAAGTTGGTTCATGTTCTTAATAGTAATAATAATAAATCAAGGTAAAAGTACTCAATTGTTTTTTGAGATGTATATGTGGTACATGATGATTAGTTTTCTAATTGTCAACTTAATTTTATGTTAAGCTTTTTGGACATGTTTATTACATTTTTGTTGAGTTCATTTTTGTGGGCTTGACCTCGATTAAACTTTGTTTTGATGGTGATGATGGTGATGATGATCAGTGTACTTTCCCTACAACTACACATTGAATTATTTTTGCATGTGTGTGTGTATATGTAGCCAGAGTTATTAATCACTAGCTGGGAATCTACGTCAACTACATTCTCTTGTTACCTTCCTTCTTTTTCACACATTTTATGTGAAAAATTTACTTAAATACGCCCCCACATAAATTGTAGAGGTGAACCTTATTTTAATGGAGTACTGTGTGTGTGTGTGTGTTTACATAAAGATTGATTTGATTTATTCGTTTCATGTAAATAATGCATATCAATAACATTAAAAATGTATCATTTCAAACAGTGATTTATGACCACGGCATAGTTGGTGGGGTGTGCATTGTGGAGATTAGTTTAATTTGTTGTCAGTATTCGTCATAGATTGATCTCAGTTGGTGTACCATTTATAATTAAAGAGTACTGGACAATTTTTTCATTCTAGTATAGAATTTCATATTATTATGATATATGTGTATTTTTTGTCATACCAACTGAGTAATCACTCAGTCAGTCAACTACAACGTAAAACCAGGCACATATATTCATCGGTCCAAGTTACCACACCTCATTAACACTGGATAATCATTGAGAATCAGTAAATCATTGAGTTTGAAGTTTACTGACTGTCTGTACACTCATGACCTCAAAGGAATTTTTTTAGGTGTCACGATATGAGCAACATATAGTAAAGGCATACTATAGGAATGAACCACTGCAGATCAACAACACAACGTTTAGGCTCGCGTACGAGTTTCAATTAATCACATATAACGACCATTAAAAATACCTTCATGTATAGTTCAAATCGTTTAAAATGGTAGCGAAATAATACTAGTTGCTAACAGAAAGTAAAAATTATAGTATTAAACACATCAAAACTTCAATTCTGTCTCTGTAGATTGTAATATAACACGTAAATCAATACTATCTCTAAATTCAAACTTTTAACCCCATACATAATCTTAAAACAAACTGTGGTGTTTGAATTAACTAATGATTCTTTTGTACTGGTTGAATGCCTGATTTCAAATTCTAAATACAATACATTCGTTGGTGCCTGTGTCTTCTTAATTCAATTGCGTTAATCCTGGAATTCCTAGTTCATACGATAATTTGAATACTATATTGGCGTCGCGATGGAGCCTGCAATGGAAAAGTTAGATATTCATTCAACTTCAGAAGCTTTTGAAGATTACTTTGAAAGGTTCGAAATCTGGGCTATGGCCAAGGAAGATGATGAGGATGTTAATATTGTGGCACACTTCCTCACATTCATTGGAAAAGAAGCATATAGCTTATTAAGAACTCTGGCTATGCCGGAAAAACCCATTTCGCTTTCTTATACAGCTCTCAAGGATCTACTGCTAGACTATGCTCAGTATACAAATTTCAAATGTCGTAAAGGAGGAAGATTTCGTAAAATGATTCATGAGGATATAAAAAAGTCCACTACATTACTACGTCATCTCAACCTAGTGCATACTCAAGGTTATGCAGACAATTCATTGAATTTGGATGCAGTTCACGAGGATGGGGACAAGTTTGGTCAGTGTTTGTCCTGTTGCAAGTTCCACTCTTCTAATTCATGTAAATTTCATAATTCTAAATGCTTCAAATGTCGTGATATTGGACAAGTTCAGTCAGTTTGTAATGCTAATGTTCATCTTACTGCAATTAATATTAAGTCTTGTAATTCTGATTCTACTGAGTCGAGTATTCATGATGATCATTTATCTTTATCAACGATTTCAAAAGACAGTGCAGAGTCATATGGCAGTTCAGAGTTAAATGAAATCCAGAATTCTTGTGAGACAACATTTCCTAATCAACCGATTTATCAGAATTCTCATGCTATTGTACCAAGTATGACTTTTCCTAATGATTCACATATTTCTAATGAAATTACTTGCAATTCTGAGGAAAATATGTTAAATGAACCTAATCATGATCGAAAACCTGATGTGGTTTGGATAGATGCTGATTTTTCTAACGATCCTACGCTCTGCAGTGACAGCGATAGCAAGAGCAAACTCCCCCCAGCCTCGGGCGTACCAAGCCATTCGGGGCATAGTATGAGATCGAGCCAAGCAAATTCAAGAAAAATATTCTTAGGTTTTTAACAAGCATAAAAAATGAGTAACTTTTTTTCGATAGTGCTCAGACTGTTAAAAGTGCTAGGAAAAATTCTTTTTGACATTATAGAATTAAATATTAAATGTACCAATTGCTTGCTTTTTCACGGAAGAGATTTTACATCACACATGAATCGACCAGATGTTGCTGAAAATTCACTTTATTTGCAGTAAAACTCGGAGAGAAATCATTTTACTAATGATTCATGGGATAATAAGTGAGCTAGTGAAGTAGGAATGTTAAACAGACAACGTTTTTTACATAGGATGCGTTCATATAGATAAGGTGGCAGATATTTTTCTCGCACGGTTTCACCTTAGTAAGCCTTCAGAGAATTCGATGCAGATCTCGTAGATGATGAACTTTTTACAGAGCTATTTTTGTGACTCAGACAGATAAATATATTCAAACTCGAACGAGCCTTCTTATACAGAGATATTCCTACAGAATTAAGATGGGAAAAAATGGTTAAAAACCCTTGTGAAACCTAAAACTTCCTAAAACCCTTAAACTAGCAATTTTTAATTTCACCTATCAGGAATTACTTTAGATTTATACAGACTCACGATTATTAATTAAAATGTGGCTTCAAAATCACATCGTCATTCTAAGAATCATTTAAGCTTAACTTCACACTACAACCACTGAGAAATAGGAAACACGAGGAGGGTGCTTCGTCCTAGTATAAGATTCCTGGAAATTGTGCGTCCATGACCACACTGGGAATCGAACTACGAACCTTTAAATTTCGTGGTGATTTTTTAACCTGAATAAGACCAAGCCGTGATACAAACTATGAAATATAACGATCACTAAAAATCTCAGAGTCCAAGTGAGCGACAGCAACCAGTACACTTCAACCATTTGGGGAGTGAAACAAACATCATCAACGGCATTGGCTAGTGGTGGAGGGATAGCGCGAATCGATTGAAGTTACACATGTAAACAATGGGACGTCATGCTCAGTGATGTAAAGGTTAAGTGCTGATCATGAGATGTGAATGTTCTGGGTTTAATCCTCAGTGGGGCTGTGGATGTGCACTATCGAGGAGTGCCATATATAACTTTACCTGGTAAATCTTTAGCCGTCTTATGGTTTGTACTGATGGTGGAATCCAAAGGGCCTTAAACACAGAAAATTAAAGTGGATTAGTCTAAGATGTTTCTAGTTTCCATGACTTCTAATTAACTACGGATGAGTTGAATAGCCGAATATCCTGTCGATTTGACTGCTAACAGAGTTCGATAACAAACAATTTGTTCAGTCTAAGCAACACTAATAATAGGGATCACACTTTTATATGCGTATCACGTTCACTAGCAATTATCATTAGTGACTTGATTGGAAATGAATTCACAAATTTCTGTTCCGAATTCATAACAAGTAGTGTCAACAAAGTTAAATATGAGCTAAATGTTTATCAGTGATCTTAAATAGCTATCTGGATAAGATTTAAAAATATTGAGTGCGATATTCACTCAGACTAATGGCCACAATACAAATCGAAGACCAGCTTAATACACATGACATTACTTACTACTCAGTGGTCAATCAACATACACCTAAATTCTAATGGAGGTCAGTTACTGTTTGAAAAGCTCAGCAGTAACAACTATGACTGCGAAAAGGATTAACACGAGATCGGATCCACCAGGGAATATCAGGTCCCTCAAGATTACAGGTACGCCTTGCTGATAAGTAGTGTCAAACAGTAGGAAACCTAGGTTCAGGGTTTCATGTCGACTACCTCTAAACAATGCATGAAATCAGATGGTTAATGAATATGGTGGATTATAGGTAATCAATACGATAACCTATTTGAGACATAGGCTTGAAAAATTTCAATCAAAAACATTACATACAACAGATGGAATGCAGCCAGCAGGGGAATCCAGGATGCGTGTTTTAGCCTACTTGAGACCTATTGAATGGATATATTTGAATCATAGAGTTGATGTTCACTCCAGGATTCGGACCCAGTACACTTTTATTCAAACACCCGCTACACATAATCCATTTAGCTACTGAGTATGGATAGCCACTCCTTAAATGCAGGCAGCAGCTGCATCCAGCTAACAATTCCCAAATAGGATGAAAAGTGCATCCTAGATCCCATTACTAGCCAGATTCCATTTAATCTATTAAAAACTTGGGATATAACGGCTATATCGAGGCAATCAGCACAGGATGCACATATGCCAGCTAAGATTGGTCAAAATCCAGTCAAAAATATCAATATATATATTCCACAATAATAATAAGTGGGAATCAATAACAATCATACTCACCAATAAGACCCATTTCAAATAAACGTATATCTGGACGATATCTGGAATCTGTCGGTGGAAGAAACTGTTCATATATTGAATTTTCCTTGACATGGAATTACTTCCCTAATGTTATTTGTACAATTCGATATGATCACGCTTGAATTTTTTTGATTATCAGTTATATTATCATTACTCATTGTCGATTTACAGATTGTTAATTCATTTAAACCCATTGTGTACTGTGTGAAATCATAATAGTCCTTTGAATTAATTGGTTTCGGTGTAGCAATCCATAGACAACGTTGCCCAGTTAGTGGTATTTCGAATCCATAATCCATGATTCAATACATTCAGAGCTGTTGGTCGATTGTCCATCAGCATCATCATTATCGTTGTTATTACTGTTTTTCTTTGGCTGGTTCTGCGTGTGTGTGATTAGTTCCAAAGATAACCGGGAGCACATCAATATATTTGTGAAATGATAAGTAAGGAAAATGAAATAAGAACCGACTGATCATTATATACATAATGGTGAAATAGAAAGATTATTATACTGGATAATATAATGTAAATAATAACAGTACAAGGTACTATAACGTTCGTATTACGTCATCATGTCTATTAATTGTTTGTATTTCTTCAAGGAACTAATACTTGGAATTTCATATATATGTATTCATATAATGCAGGTACATCCAGCTGACGAGTCCCAAATAGGGCGAAACGGACGTCCTGGATTCCACTGCTAGCCACTATCCATCATTGCTTACAAAAAGCTCGTAAATTAATGCAATATCGAGGCATACGCACAGTATGCATATATGCCGATAACAGACTGATCAATTTCAGTCTTAAACCTCAATGGGAAGATACAAGTCAAATAACACCAAGTTAATATATATATATATATATATATATATATATATATATATATATATATATATATATAGAGAGAGAGAGAGAGAGAGAGAGAGAGATAGCAAAATTCGTGGTCATAATGTTTAATTGGGAATTATGTCTACAAAATAAATTAAATGAGTATTTGTATATATGAAATCAAATTTGATTATAGAATGAAATGACAATTATGACAGATATGATCATAGTTGATCAATGTCTGTTTGTATCCAGTTGATTGTAATTAAAGTTAAGTAGCTCATTTACAAAATACTGTTTTTATGCAGTCAAGTTTGAACAATAGCTGATTATTGATGTGAGGCCTAGTGATATTACATCCATCTATCGAAAACGAAGTTGATGTAAAGGAGAGTGGGGTTTGAACCTGTGGTCTGTTTTTTTTTAACTATCGAATCCTTTAATGAATAATTAAGCAACTGCTCTACATAATAACCACTATTAGTAATCCTTTTGTACTTAAATTTAGTCGAGCGGTAGCACTGTAACCTTATGAAATGTTGGTTTAAAAGAAAGATGAATAACACAATACATAGGTATATTTTATTTGTGCAACAAATAACTGAAAAAAAAGTATTCAAACACCTAAAGACATTGGCAACATTGATTTCATTCATTCTTACTCTTATCGGTTAAGCAGACAATTATCTTTCATAATTCGAACCCGTAAATTAGTTTCATCCTTCTATTCTTCTCTAACTCTCTGATTATTATGCAATCTCATTTGGTACTTGAAGTCTCGGATCAGCTGATGATGTATTCTTTTCTATCTTTCTATAGATTTATGTATTTATCATACAAATGTAAATATGAATGTACAGCTTAAGTAAATGATTTCGTCGAAAAGAAAATTTTCTTCGTTGAATTCTCTTCAAAATCAGGTTTTCATTAAATTTATAAATAAGTTCAGAAGTGAAACTATACTACTAAGTAGCTGAGTCAATTACAATCAACAAATTTTAGCATTCTAAGCGAAAATTATATGACATTTACAGTTTTTACAAAGTAGATGAATTATGGCTAGGGTTGTGATCCAAGAAGAGAGTTTATTCAGTTGGATTTACCGCGATCCCAGTGTTGATGTTCACACTAGAACTCGATTAAATCTAGTTCTTTTATAAAAGTTATGACCAAACAGCTATATCGAGGCGATCCGCACAGGATGCTCATACACCAATTGAAACCTATTTGAATTCAGTCAAGAATATCAGTAACAAGATAAACCTAAAACTGTAATAATAGTAGCAGTTATTATCATATCACATGAAAAAGCTTTGTCCACAACAAACTGCTATATCGAAATTCAAAACAGTTTTAATTGAGGTAAGAAAAACTATTTCCTCACATCTGTTACAATAGTGGAGAGGGATTCCCCATTTATCATCTAGATCTCAAGTGGCAATACCCCTTCGTACATGCCTAACCATTCTGCTATTTCGAAGCATATTACCGATGCTTATCATGTTTAGTTATCATTTTTATGCTAATATGATATGACGGCTTATGCCAACGAGATTTTTTCCAGGCTCTACATTGATCATAACCGACTGATTGAAAGCAAATACGTGATGAGTGCATACTGTCAATGCAGATTGAAATTAATGATTTCTGTTTCTTATTTCTTTTATTCTAAATAAATCAACTGGTTAGTGGTTTACTGAGTAATAGGCATTCTGCTTGTATGGAGTTGAAACACGAAGAATTATTACAGGTATTTATGAACAGCTATCTACGCAAGATACTCAGTGTACGTTGATCGGATACCATCAGCAACAATCTACTGTGGCAGAGAATAAACGAACTTCCAACTGTAGAGGGAATTAAGAGAAAAACGCCGGAGATGGATAGGTCACAATTTACCGGAATCACCGAACTGCATCACGAGGCAAGCTATAGCTTAGAATCTTGAAGACTAAAGGAAAAGAAGTCCAAAGAGCACATTGCTCCGGGAATAGGAGACATCGAAAAAATGAATAGCAATTGGGAACATTTGGAAAGGAGGGCGCAGGATAGAGTTATTTAAAGATCCCTAGTCGGAGGCCTATGTCCAATGAGGGGTGATAGGTGTAAGTAAGCAAGTAAGACCGTATATAAATGTAAAAATAGGTCACAATTTTCATTCATTTTCTTAGTGAAATATTTTACATCTTATAAATGATTTATTCATTGGCTATTTCAGTAGTATGAAAAACAGTGAGATAATTTTTAGTGTCGCTCCAAATCAACTTTAATCAACTTGGTTACACCGATTTATAGAAACACAACGTGTTAGTTGAAAAAGTATTCTAAAACACAATGTTTTTCAGATGAAATAGATTGTCTGAAAATCAACATGTAATCTAATCTGCATATCTTAGAAGTCTGTTTTATTTACCTATGCATCAAAGACCAATCACAATCCAATGAGTTTTTATTATAAGATGATTGGAGATGGCCTACTGAAGACCCTGGATCTAGGTTTCATGTTAGTTAGTACTCAGTAGTGAAGCATGCCTGCAATCTTAAGTGAACTGATTCTCTCTGTAGAATTAAAATTAGGCCTAATTAATAGATATGACACTGGTCACTATTATGACCACTCAGTAATCAATCAATGTAATCTTTTATTATAACATACAAGAAATGAAGTATATGAATACTCTTTTATTGTTCTAACTTTCACCAGGTTAATTTCCTAGTTTCTTATTAAGATTCTTTTTTTAATAAAGTGTATGATAAATAAACTTCATTTATGCGTATTTCTTCACCTATCAGTTCATTTAGTGTTAAAAACCAGAGTATACTGATCATAGCCGCTTTCCGCTTTTCATTATACTAATGTTATAAGTAAGGTGATTGGAAGGACTCCAATCTTTGAATATGATATCAAGCGTGGTTAGTGTAAAGTAATTCACACACTGATTTTCAATCTGTCCAAATCGATCAATATATCTTTATATTTAACTGCCGACAAAACAAGGAACTTTGACCCATTAATAAGATACGAAAACGTAACTCTGCAAAGTAAACATGTTTTTTTCGGTTTCTTTACCTTGGAATAATATTAGTGCCATGGTGGTCTTAATTTAAAATTTATATGTAACACACCATTAAGGTAACATGTACATCCTTACCTCTTGCGCAACACTGTAAACTAATAAGATTATTAGAGTTGAAATGGCTAGTCGATCTAAGCTAGAACACTATTAAAAACCTGGAAGCATTGGATGGCCGTTTCATCCTGGTAGTGCGTATCCACGATCGCGCACGCGGGATCTGGAAGCAGTAAATTAAGACATTTTTATCAAATTCCCTTATGAAAAAACACTTAACATGATCATTTCTGGCTGAATACTTTCGAATAATGAATGAGTTATACCAAATGAATTTGTCGATGGATTAATGTGAGTAAAACGTTGAACAATCTGATTTGGTTCGAGAAACTGGATGATATTATTTAATTTTACACGAAATAATTGTTTTGAAGCAGATAACATGAAATTGTCAACTACTTAACTGAATTACATAAAAAGATTGAAATTTACAATGTTTACGCACTGGCTAAGCAACTTGAAAGCTCAACGCAATTCATCTTATGTTGAATACTCAGAAGTATGTATGAACAAAATAGTTTATGGACAATAATTTTTAATAAATATTCTATTTGAAGTTTTACATCATGAACTGTCTTTGATAAAACAATCATTGGGAACCAGAAATCATTGAATGAGGACACTTACCGCTGGTGCCTATCCACAAACCCTTCATGTGGATAAAAGTCATGGCATTCAAGTTTCACTGCGAGCTATAAAACTTCGAATCACTCAGTAGGCATCAAATTGTTTACATTTTAACTTCAACCAATTCTCATTACTGCTCAACTATCATCTATTGCGACTGATTACATTTGTCACACATTCAATATGACTTAATTTCACTGGTCACTACTGCTCATCAGAACTCCGGAGATTACCCTTCGAAATTATTCAGATTATGATTATAAGTATTGTTATTACACAGTATTATTGTGGAGATTAATAAATTTGTAATTGTACATCTTAGACTGACTTTGGTGAGGAATTAAAATCTTGGATTTTATTCCTTGTGGTAAAACTTCAAATTCAATAATCTTAGAAAATTCCAGAAATAACAAAACATTCTATTCTCTTTGTATCGATACAAGTCATATATCCCTAGTTAGAGACAGATTAGATTACTACTCGGCGATAATATACCTCCTATCCAAGCAGAATTAAAGAAAACGTCATTTGAACATGAGATTTAAATGATTAACTATTGAATGTGAAAACTATATGCTATATGATAGAGTTATTGATATAGTGAAGCACATTCGTAGCTTAAAATGACAATTTTAGAGGTGTTATATTGATTCAACTAATAATTTTATAATCGTGTTTATGATTTATATTAGGCAACTATAGGAAGCTCTGCTACTTGATAAAGTTTTTCTTAGTTTAAAACAGTGAAGTTTGTGCTGATGATGTCGTTCAGAAGAATGATGAAAGCTCCACAACCAAACCATTCAGCTCAGAGAACAAAACTCTATCAAAATTGCCCACATAAGCTACAAATCTTCTCTATCTCACAGTGAAACGCATGTTACACCAATTTGATTTTAAAATGATGGATACTCACAATTGATTGGTCACTGGGTGGCGATCAATGTCATGCATATCTAGTCTTTATTAGTGCAGATTGAATGCACGAAACCCGGGTCCATGGTTTCTTGTCGACTACTTCCAACCACCATCTAATCTCTAAATGATGGATAATATTTATAATTCAGCTTAATGGTGAATTTCAATATTCACTAAACAATTATTTTTCAAAACTTATTTCATAATCTACACATTTAAACAAATCTAGGGATGATAATAATAATAATAACAATAATAAACCTTCTAAACAATAGGGACTAGAAAAAAAGTGGAAACTTTCGATATTGAAAAGAACAAACACACATATGCACACATATGCAAACACACACACACACACAATAAAATGAGAAAATCAATGATAAAATCAACAAAAACAAACAATAGAATTGACTTAGTTACACTTATTCAATAAAATCGAAATGATTCAATGTTACTGTTAATGACAGTCTCTGTTATTATTATTTAATTTTGATTGTGCTGACTTTAAACTGATCAGCCCTCTTTTAGTTCATAAATAATTTTAAAAAAAAAAAATTTATTTGATATAAATAAACAAATAAATAAAAATCGTAATGTTTTTGTTTTAATTAAAAGAATTGCAAAGTGGAACGAATTTTAAAATTCTCACAAAGAAATAAATGTATAGTTAGAGATGAGTTAATTAGAATTATGAATGTATAGTAAGAGATAGAAATACATTTATGCACTGATCAGAATGTTTAAAATGATAACAGGAAATTATTTCTTAGCAAATTGATTCCTATTCCTTGAACTTGAAATCTTGTAACAAATTTTAACCTATTGGTGTTATATTTTATCAACGAACTGATTTCACAGTGAGGTTGAAAGTTTTTCATTTATAAGATTAAAAAGGTTAATTTTTCACTACAGCTCATGTCGGTTTGCGATGAAAATCCTAATCCTAACACTAATTAAGAACACTGAGAGAACTGTTAAAAGCCTACTTGTGTCCTTTCAAGGGTTGGGAAGACACATAATGAAAATTTCTATGGGGAAATTTACTTGTCATCGTTTTGCGATTTCAGTCAGTTTTGTCACATGCAATGTAGAATTTAACACATGTGTGTAGACTCAAGTTTCCATGCTACATTAGCACAGTGAGATAAAATTATCAAGACAAATCGCAGAGTAGCAGGAAAAGTGACGGCATCAATAGTAGTATAAAAGATCACTTGTACTCAGGAACTAAGAGAACATAAAGAATGAATGCATTTACGTATCTACGGACTGTTCCAAACCATGTCACTCAACGTTTCCGACTACTGACCACGGATATCTCACGGACTCCAATAGTTAACTTGAAACTACCTACGTGGATCAATCCAACAATGACTTCATGGACTGATGCCACCTTTTAACTTTGTCACCCCTATGTTCTTTTCAGTCTATTCCTACAAAAGACAACATCGCTCATCTAGGCAGGCGGTGGTTCTGCATACGTAACACACGTTCCAACCACCTTAGCTGATGAAGATTCACTGCTTCATTAATCAAATTTCCATCTCTAGTTAGTACCCTATACTTAACCTAAGTATTGTATTTTTTTACGGTTTACAAACATAACAACCTGTAGATGACTTTAATAGACTTATTAAATATGCAAAATCTGTTTATACTTTGTAATATTATGAGTTTTTTTTCTTCAAAAACCGTTCATTTACAAGATATGTTTTTTGATTGGTCAAGGGTTGGCTGAAAATCTCCGCGGTTAATTTTAAGCTCCTACCTTTATTATACTCTGAATACATATTTATTATTATCTTCATATCAAATAAATTTAATTTAACTGATCAGTTGTAAAGTATACAGCGAAAAAGACTGAACAGTACACATTATGAATTAAATAGATCGCGAATGAATTTTAAGGGTAAGATAAACCTAGAAGTTTTCACAGATTCACTTTTTTTGTCGATTTTTTATTATTTGAAAGGGTTATGGGGATAGCTCCTTAATGGTCATTGATTTACAATGATTTTCCCTGGCTGATGTCAACTCATGTTGATGATAATACAAAGATTTCACTGAAACCATTTAAAATAATATTTGTGCATTTGAAGATGAATTTCCGAAAGAAATCTAATGAAAAACTGTAGCCTGTGTAGTAGTAGTATACAGAGTTGTGAGAGAAGTAAGATGAAAATTATTCAATGTACGGCGATTTGTATGAAGTCAGAAAAAGTGATCGGTAAAGCCTTCGCTCAAAAAATCATGTCCACCAAGAAACGTAATGATCTTTTAGTTCATTACCCTTGTGGAGTTGTATTATGTGTACTATTAAGAAGTTCCAAACAAGGATGAAACAACAGTGAAGATCATGAACAAACAACCTTAGAGGAAAGGGGATTACTATCATCTGCTTTACATATGACAATTCCATATAAACAATACCATATAGAACTATGAAACCCAATCATCAGATAGTTTAATAGGCTAGTAAACTTGTCAAAAGCTTAAAAATGACATTCGGTGTTGTTACAGAATTAATGGTTCCTTTATTTAGTGTAAATAAAATTGGTCCATTAGACTGAAAATGGCAAAAGGAATAATTGTGTTAAAAAAGAGACTTGGTGAACAATGAATATTCTTATCTGATACAGTTTAACGTTAGACTTTTCCACATTTTGCAAGGTTCTCCAGCCATCAATTGATTAGAAGACTGAATAAGTATATGGAACTTGTAAGAAACTTTGATAATTGCACAATTATAGCAAACAGAAATGCTAGTTTGTTTTTTGAAGAAAAAAAAGTAAACATTATCACTTACATCAATGATTTCCTCCTTTTCATTCCAAACATTCGGTTCGACTGTGAATAGACCACGAGACCAATTACCAAAAATTATTCTCTTTAATACATATGAATTATTATGATGATTAAATATATTTTTACTGATAATATTAATAGTAGTATTAACAGTAGTATTATGAGATGTATTTGAAGCTGAAACTGCCTGCATTTTATCTAATGTTGATGGAGCATATAATTCACCGATAACACGATTACAACCATGTCCAAACGAATTAGATGGATGAAATTCTAACTGACAATATAATCCTAACGAATGATTAGTGATACGCAATGTACCAGTCTGTAAGTATCCGAAAGAAAAGTCAAAAGAGTAGAACAAAATAAAACAAGATCGTAATGGTAGTTATGAAAAATAATAATTTTTAATAGATTACCCAACAAATTGGTTTTTATTAGACGATCATTAAAAACCTGGAAACATTGGAAGGTTGTTTCGTTCTAATGTAAGACTCCTCTGCAGTGAGCACCCACGAATTTATCAGATGTCGAACAATTATGTGTTCACTAATGACTAATTTCGAGAGGTGATTCCCGGAATTCTTGTGAGAAGTCCTGATCAGTGACGTTCAATTATGTTAGGTATGAGGTAGTTATTCACAAATGACATTGAACGATGTCTGGTGGGGTATCACGAATTGATTGAAGTTCGAAGTACAAACCATTGGATGCCAGTGTACTAAATGTATCAAGACGTAATATATGTCGTAATTAGTCGGAAACTTTTCTGAAAAAACACTGGTGAAATATATTTAATACGCAGTTAGAATGTGAAAATAACTTTTGTCACAAATCGTCAGCAGATGGAGAACTGTAGAGTATAAAATACGACTGGGTAGTTGTTTCGTCTTAATTTAAGGCTCCTCAATGGTGTCGACCCACATTAGACGAAATAGTCCCAAGAACATTCAATTCTTATGGGTTGAAATTTAATGGTTCACAGTTTTTAACTCAGTCCAATAATCACTGGTAAGTTTCTGCTTGGTATATTACACGGGCTACTGACTTATTGTGGGAATTTTTCGTAATTAACTTACAATCTATTTAATATAGGTGTTGGAGTATTGAACTCAACTGAATTACACAAAATCACCAATCTCTTATTTTCTGAATGGTACAGTTTTTAGCAAGATTCAATGTATTAATGATTGGTCAATTTAATCAGAAGTAAATAATGGTTATACATATCACTGGGAATAGTTAACAGTTAAGTGAACTATTGTTTATCATAAAATAAAGCAATATATTCATATAGTGGGTTTGTGGAGATTGTTTAATCTTATATTTTAAATCACGAAACCACTAGACAACTATTTCATCATAGGGATAATACATCTCAGTTGTGTTTATCCACGAATTTACAGGGGATTAAACCAAAAACCTTCTGATCTCACGGCGAACGCTGAGTCGGCGCATATGACGACATAACTTTCGACTTGAATCCGTTTTTTTTCATTCAACGCTAGTTAATTATTCAACTAAGTGACATGTAAATTTGAATAAACAGAAATTTGATGAATAAAAAGCAACAAATTAAATCAACTGTTCAATCATCACATGAGAACTGAGAGTAAATTAAAATCAGATGTTAATCGAGTTCACTTTTTGAACAGTTACAATTCATAACTCAGTCTGTATGAAATGTTGATAAAAATCAAAGTTCATTAATATTCAATTAAATTGGTAATTACGCAACAGATATACATAGTGGGAGAGGGGGGAAGTTAGCAGTAGTCATTATCTATGGTTACCTAAACAAAATTAGGCGGGACGGAATTCGAACCTGGGACCTATTGGTTGAATGTCGGCATATTTAACAATCAATAATTAGTTGTTTCACATTTGAAGCGATGACATATGTTTATTTTACTTTCATTCTTGACACAATGACTATCATAGTTACTGATATTATATCATAAGATTAACAGGACTGTGCTAAATAGAAATTACTTTACATATATATCAGCAACAAATTGATCACAACAACAAGTAGACTTACATGTTCTACCCAAATTTTACCAGTCAATATATTATGTATTGTTAAATTGACATTTTGCCATGTATAAGATTCATTAAAATGATATAATTGTAATGTAATTAATCCTTTCGGTTGAACGTCGATTGATTTACCCCAAAAACGTAATTTAAATTGTAGAGTAGCACGTAGACTATAATTATCTGATTCAACATGAAAAGCTGTGATTGGTGGATGATGAGATACCTTGAAACGTGAATGAAGAGAAACACGGATGTAAATAATAACAAGGAAACGATGAGTGAATGTTTAGTAAAAGGGAATCTGTGGTGATAGTCTGATTTTATAGTTTACAATGCTAGTTGATTTTAGTTAGAGAACCATTGAGAACCAGGAACTCATAGATAATTGTTTCTTCTTAGTATGGGACTCCTCATTAGCGCTCATTCACGGCTTCATTAGGGATCGAACCCATGAACTTTAAGTCTCACAAAAACAAACAAACAGAATTCTAGTGAGTGGCTCTGATTAGTGAAGTTCAACCATACCGGATATGAAGCAGTTATCCACCAATAACATTTGAAAGAGGTTGCGCAATATTGCGAGTTAATTAAGGTTAGACATGGAAACCATTAGATACCGACTCAACGGTCTAAAGGTTAAGTCCTCACGTGCTCTAACAAAAAAGAAACTTTACAAACACAATGCTTTAATAGTTAGGAATAACTCTATTATAATGGTTGATATATTTTCTTTGTTAATAGTCCTTTGAAAAGAAAACGGTGAAGAGAAGGACACGAGAGACAATTTTCATTGGAATTATACTACGCAATGACAAATGAAATTTGCTGTAATATCGCTATATTTTTTGATGAGAATTCTTCACTGTAATCAAACAAACGATGATGGGTAAGACAATTATTATAATCATTATTACCATATTCGAAATTAGAGAACTTTGCATAACCATCTTCTGATGGTTTGAGACTGGTGACTTAATAAACACAATGGTAGGCGCACTCTTTATTTTGATCAATTAACTATTCACTAAACATGAATTCTTTTCATATAAATCTATCATTAATTAATAGACTACATTTTTGATAGGCATTTTGTTTTGTCCCAAGGGAAGACGAGTTTGTGATCAATTAAGGAAAGCATAATGTAACTCTGAACCAATTAGATTTTCAAAGGTTTATAGCCTTATCAAGCAAATCATGATATACAGAACGGAGAAGATTCAAAACTCAAGTGGATGCTTTTAGTGATGTTGAGTTCTCGGAGCTAAAGATAGTTTAGTGACAGCTTTTGTTATGATTTTGCATAACATCGTCGGCGCTTATTTCATGTAAAAGTGAGCTTCTTAGTTAATTTCTGAAATATATATCAGTTTGTTTTAAAAAAAAACAATCCATAGCCTGCTATATAATGACTGAATGTTCATTGATCTTCCTATTAATAACAGCACGTTTCCCGAAGTTTACCGAATATTCTTGTCACACATCAACCTATTGGTATTCCTGTGTTTTGTACTTAGACCAATCTTAAAAGTAAAACCACTTTTGATACTTCTTATCTTTTGTTTACTGTTCAGGGCTAAATTGTAGGAAATTTCTGAGGCGGATGAGAAGGGAGACTGGGAGACAGTTAGAGATTTAGTGTCAAGCATTCAAATGCCAGATTTATTAAACTTTATAATAAACGTCAAAAGAAAATAACACCAAAGTAACAGAAAAACTTGACCAATCAATCAGTCAATCACGGATGAAACATACTTGTTCTGCAACGAATACAAAATTCCTGTAGTGTAATTCGTAAGTTTCACCTAACAATGGATTGAATGGTTTACCAATACGACCAGCATTCGATGACATACTAGATACAGCGAATGCTGATACAAGCTGTAAGAATATTTAACAAAGAAAAAGAAATCAGAATTTTTCCAAATAATTCTCAATATACTTTGAAGTCCCTAAAATCACACAGCGGGAAGATTCAACATAACCATTACCAATCAATTGAAATTCATCTCCGTTACACAAGCTAATGGTTATCTGGGCTCAGAAGTTAAGCTGCTTAAACCCGCCGTGTATATTAAAGTTTCATTAATTGTAAAGCCGGAGATTCTAAATTTTAGCATTCTTAATCGTTAGTGGCTGATAAATGCCATAAATACTTCAGGGATGTTTTAGAATCGCTTAAACTCGACAGTATACTATACTTTACCATATATACATAGGCGTGATTACGATTGATTGGTCATTGAGTAGTGACTGATGTCATGTGTGTCTAGCACAAAATGCTGATTAAATTTCGTCGACGGTCACTAGCAGGAGAGATACACTTTTACGAGTTCTGTATTTTAATGTTAAGCGATTGAACGTAGTCCATAGGAAAATCTGAACCCAGGTTTCATGTTGATTTCAGCTTTTCATTAAGACATATCTGTAATCTTGAGAGGATTCATGCACCCTATACGGTTCAAATCCTTTTCACCGTCAGATGAGTTAAAAGTGAGTTTTTCGTGTCACGAATATTTTCAAACTCTGAAATTGGGTTAGAGTCTCACAGGAAGCATCAGTTCCCTCTAGACTACAGGTATGCCGTGGTGATAAATGCCAGTTAGCACGGAACCTAGGTCTAGAGTTTTCCGTCTACTGTCTTTAGTAACCTAACATGTAAGCTGTCGTTTTGTTGAGGATAATTTTCTTTTCATGAATATCATTTATAGAACCGTAAACTGTGAGTCGTAATTCTTATATACCATACAACAGATATGAGTAAATCTAATAATAACTGACGTAAAATTGAGACTAGTTCATACATTTTGCTATGAAAATAATTCACTCACAACTGGATATTTTAACTAATCAAAAGTATCCTCATTTTCATGTGTTTTTTTTACTTCAATAGTACTTTAACATACAATACAATAATAGAGATAAATGTTCATTGTGAAGACTGAAGTGCTTAGTAATGATGACTATTATTAGGACGAGATAAAAATATGAGACGGCGAATTGATTTTTAATTTAGACTTCCTATTCAATTGATACTTTCCTATTAATTCAATATGATTTTAATCAGAGAGGGGTTTTGTGAATATTGTAGTAATTTAATAGTTGAATTCATGAGTCAATTAAAGGTAGACCACAATGGAAAACCTGGAAGCGCTTGATGGCCGTTTCATCCTAATATGGGACTCCTCAGCAGTGTGTACCTACGATCGCGCCTCATGAGATTCGAACCCAGGACCTATCAGAAGCCGTGACCAGTGAAGTTTAACCGGGTCTGTTGTGAAATAGTAACTCATTGAAGACAATGGTGGATTTGTCGCTCAATTTCGTGGATTAGTTGAAGTTAGACATTCACACTGTTGGATGCTGCTTCAGTGGTCTGAAGGTTAAACGCTCACGTGCGAGACTGGTAGGTCCTGGGTTCGAGTCCCGCGAGTCAGGATCGTGGATGCACACTGCTGAGAAGTCCCACAGAGGGACGAAGCGGCTGTTCCAGTGCTTCCAGGTTTTCCATGGTGATCTAGCTTCAATTGACTCATAAATTCAACTATTAAGTCAATATGATTTCTGTTCATTTAAATTTAAGCCAATTGAGTATAGTTTTTCGTAAGCAAAACAATAATTCATTAAATTATCATGATTTTTTTAAAAATTTAACATTGGTTCAGTATGGTATCCATATGTAACTAATTCTTTGTGATTTTACGTTTAAATGACAACTATTCAGTTTGATAAATTCATGTAACTAATAATCACTGAATTTAATTGTTATATAACTGAATAAACTTGAGTGTAATTCATGCTGTTGGGGTCCCCCTCCAGTTAATCTGTCGTTTCAAGATTAAATTGAACTCGGGTTTGATGGGATCTTACGGTAACTTTTAATTACCAGAGATTGAGGTTCTTTTAAAAGGAATACGAACTAGCTAAGAACTCGACAGAATGATCACTGATACACACAACACTTCAACAAATATCTCTAATACGATAAAACCCTAGAAGACATTTTAAAAGAAACCTAATGTTCTAGAAGTCAACTTAATAACTAAGACTATCTAATCTGAAACGTTCCTAGCTAAATTTCCCTTTGCGAAAGTTGTGTTTCTCGTAGTCGTGATTACGAGAGAATGGAAAATATCGTAGTTCATTTCAAAGTACCGTCTCATTAGGGAGTGGCATCGACGATCATAACAACGACAATAAGTTTTATAGAAAAACAAAATATTATACCAGACATTGAGTATGTGCCGTTTGCGTAGAAAGATATAGAGTACGTTCAATAGTGACAACAATAATAGAATCAATTTAGTTTTTAATGTTTTGGATTATTCCACTGTCGATATTTTACTCAAATCTGATTAGTTTCTGTTATTACATGTGGGTCCTGTGTGAATTACCTCACTATAGCCATCACAACACAAGTTGACATAGAGTAGATGAGATGTAGCTAGTATGCGAATCCAAGATGCGCGTGTTACCTTATTTGGGACTTGTTAACTGAATGTACCTACTTCATCCCAACGTTGACATTCACTACTGTAATAAAACACAGTATCATTCGATTCGAACGCCCAAACGCGTTATGCACCCAACTACAGTCTAAATAGTCACTACTTTGTGCTATGGAGGTGAATTTCAATACATTTGTAACAGTTGCTTGAATCTCCCCGTTGTTGATGCCAAGTATTGCAGAATGTATTGTGTGATGATGGTTTTATCAAAGCAATCTGCACAGCAAGGACATGTAGTAAACCAAGATTGATCAAAATTCAGTCCATAAATTACAACGAGATTATCCAAACCATTAGAAATTAAATTAGAATTAATACACGTTGCATAAGGTAGTGGTTATCTGGATTTAGTAACCAAGTGGATAACGCATTGAAGTGTCTGAATTGAAAGGTTGCTGGGTTCGAGCCTCGATGCATAAAACAACTCCAGGATACAATTACATCCAGCTGATGAGTCCAAAATAGAACGAAATATGAGTCTTGGATTCGCCTACTAGTCATATTCTATCTATTCTATGGTAAATAATAAAACTATTCAAATAACTTAATGTCAATCGAGAAAAAAATTGAGCAACTATCATGAATGCCAAAAAAAAGATAACCGTTCAGAGCTACAAATCAACCTAAAAACAATCGAATTCTTATATGAATAAATTTATAAAAGAAAAATAAAGTTTCAATAATGAAGAAAGAAAAACTGAAAAAAAGAAAAGAAAAGGAGAGAAAAGAAAAGAAAACAATTAGAAAGATTCGATAGTGAGATATTCATATGATTGACTGTATAGATTAACAACATTTGAAGAACACAACTTTAATCATTAAATTTATAGTGAAATAGGTTAAACAACGAAAAATGTGTGTGTGTGTGTGCACGTTAGTGTATGTATTAAAACCAAGTTTTATAAGTAGGTTTTTTTACAATCCAAAAAAATGTAGAAGGAGAGAGAGAGAGAGAACTGTTTTCAATTTATTTAAGAATGTTATTGAACTATTGGTTATACGTTAAAGAATGACCAAGTGACCAATAACAAAGTTTAAACAAAAAAGAATAATATCAACTGATGAGAATAAGTAACTTATATATATATACCGTTTAATACTAGACAGTACTAAACTGGTCTCCTGAAAACCAATGTAAAATTACCCTGGCCCACAAGGGTATATTATATAACTGTGAAGGCTACTTAGCCTGTCGTATACCCTGACGGTATTCTCGTAACTTTCGGGTTGCGTGATCTGCCAAGGGCGATAGGACAGTGCATGATGCTATTGTTTTGTGCTAGGTTCAAAGAGAATTGTATGCTATATGCATGCAAATCAACCCCGTTATTGTTCTTGCCCCCAAATGCCCTGGTATGGCCGAGAGTGGGCTGGGTCCGCCCTCCCTCTCGAAATGCTCTCACACGGTCACGCGTATACAGCCTATGCCATGGAAGTCCTACTCACTGCCTTCTCACACCACGGGTGTTGTTTACGAAAATGAAAAGACGAAAAGCGAATGTCCGGCGCTTTAACCGGATTCCAAACCAATGGTGCACATGGGCTCCAGCATCCTGAGGGAACAAATGGTGTATGAACCAATTTTTGGTCACCGGTTACCTTACGATGCTCCACTGTTTTGTGGATTAGACCTTTATGTCAAAGGCTCGGAGTGTGGCCCTCTAAGAAAACCACCTGCTTCGGTTTGGGCACCCGGGCAGTATCACAGCCCACACACAAATACGATGAACTGTCGATAATTATGGAAAATACTTTTCTTGCTTCAATTAGCAATCAAACGATTCACATCATTATTACTATTATTGTTATTATTATTATTACTATTATTGTTATTATTATTTACTACGTCATTTATTCACTCTCTTTTATTCTCACTCTGTCTATCCTTACTTCTCGAATTATACAGCAGCTCGCCTATGGTGGAAATTCGGCTCTATCTAAACGTTCTCGAGTAGAGACGTCATCAGGTATGGCTCAGAATAGAAGCCAGTGGCGATCCTGCTGTAACCTTCTTTTACTTTCTTCATAAAAGTGGTTGCTTCTTCCTTAACTGAAAGATCTCTTCTGATTGTACGTTTCTGTTTCTTCCATTATTATTATTACCACACTACCTTACACTAATCTGTTCGTTATCGTTCTTTTTTTTACGCTCCTTACCTTTTTTTCCTTCTCTTCAAATTCTCATTGTTTTGTGTGGCGCATATATATTTGGTGCCCTCTTGTACCAATATTTATGTGTTCGAATAAATAAATAAATAGTACTAAACCTCTGTTTCATACTCATGTACGACTTTTCGAGTTTGTGCACTACTTATAACCTCGATACCGCTCAAATTCAAGATTATCAGTTCTATCAGTGAGAGCCTAACTTCT